ATTTTTCATAAGTGACTCACATAATGCCCTGGTGTGCCCACCAACTGCCCAAAGGTTTCGGCATCTGTCTCTCCTCAAACATAAGAGGCTTCTTAGATCAGAACAAATGCCCCACTCATCTCGCTTCCTTCTCCCCACCATACATACTTCCAAGACCAATATGCATCCAAGAGGTTTACAAGCAGAAGATGAAGAGGAATTCTACCTTGCTGGTTGACAACAAGCATCCCTACACCTTCATCCTCTTTATGGAGTGGACTCTACAATTACTCTACATATCTTTACAATTATGACCATGCATTTTACCTGTGTCACAAGGATAAATACTTCCTGCTTGTTATATTTGGAGAAATGCTAATCATAGCCATCAATTAATAGGACACCCTTCTTAAATACAGGATGGGAATCTGATAAGGACTTCCCAAAAAGGTTCCCTCTAAGCTGGGTGCATGAACGTGCATACAGTTGTCTTTCCCCTCCATGTAACGACAGAATCCTACACACAGAGAGGGGGAATAGAGTCACGTGCACATACAGGGGCAAACCCGCGCTAGAGAGAGGCAGAAGCCCCAGAGGCAGTCCAGGCCATCGCACCATTTAGGAGTCTAGCAACAGGGAATTTCCATGATAGATTTACTAATTCATGCCAGTGGTCATCCTGGCTGGTATATTCTTGATGTTGTAATATATATATAAAAATAATGCTTCCAATTTTTGTAATTCTGGGAAACTTCTGTTATATAGAAATCCTTTGTAGGAAGCAGAAGAATAATATGATGGCCATCTTACAACCATACCGTGAAGAGCCATTGCCCATAGGTCGCTTCCAGACAGGGATCAGTTCTGAATATCTCCAACCTGCAATGTCTTTTCATCTCTTTGGTCTGAATCCAAAGGGCAAACAAAACTGGTCCTGAGCCACTACTTGAAATAATCCAATGGCATTCTTATGAGCAACCCAGTCCACCTGTCTTGGGAGACATAACCCTATTTGTCCACTGTATTAATTAAAATAGAAGAGGAACCTGAACTCTCATCACAACTTGGTTGTCTATGTGTATCCACAGGGAATACAAAATCCAAGATGTAATGTGGCTGTGGTCCAAAGAATGATCTGCTGGTCCATCCATGGGGCATCCAGGTTAAAGGCAGGACATGGTGAATGCTAGCAAGAAAAAGAGAGAAGCCAGATCCACAGGAACAAAGCTGATCTTTCTTCTGCCCTTTAGCATCCATACATAATTAGAAATATATAACTCCCTTCAAATGCATTGGGCTCACATTTGTAACACATACAAAGCTGCACTTCTTATGTGACTTCTAAGAAATCTAAGTCCCCTGGATGAGTAATGAGCAGCGATTTATGGCTGTTCCAGATCTGCCACACAGTAATGGATAATGGAGCTTGACTCTTAATTCATATCCTCTCCATATATAAATGGACTCCATAGACACGGAAGAAGCTCATAAAACCTTCAAAATGGACCTTGCCATTGTTGTGAATTCCTATCAAGAGCCACAACATGTGTCAATCAAGGCAAAGAAGGTAAATGTTATTGTTTTCTGTTTAGACTATGTGTTGTGTTCCATTGACTGCAATACACTGTTTATTGAAGGAATTGTTGTTTTTGTCCATATGCACACTCTCTTTTTTGTTTAATTTAATTTATTTTATTGCAGGATTGGTGTGGACCAGTTTTCATCAAAGGTAGCAGGTTTTTGTACAGCAGTGCATCACTGTGGGGTATCTTTGGAGGATGAACCCATTTGATGGTCACTGGTAAGTCACTAAACCTATTCTCAACATTGCTGTCTCTTTGACAATAACTTAATTTTCAGGCTAGAACCAGAGTCAGATTCTGGAATGACCTTTACTGTGAGACAGGAAAATGTACCAGTAAATATGGAAATCAAGCTAGAACAAAACTCAGATTCTGTAATGACCTTTACTGTGAGACAGGAAAATGTACTGGTAAATTGGAAAAATACATTTAATTCTGATATTTTTCTACTAAACCAACATGAGTTTGGGAGAATACATGCTGAACTTATGCAGGATAACTGGACGTGACTTCAATTGGTAAAAACTGGAAGCTCTAATTCTCTGGTTCTTTCCATTATTTCTGAGCTAGGATTTTTTTTAAAAAATGTATGTACAATGAAGAGCCCTCTTGGTTTATAAAAACTTTGCAATCCAGATCAACAATTTGATAAAAATTGTGCTAAAAATCAAAGAAGACTTCTAATTTTTATTTGAATGTTAAATATCATGGGATGGGTCCAACTGTAAGTCCCAACTAGAGAATTTAACATGATAGGTCAACACCATTGTAAATTCCATGTATTCAATGAGTCAACACTAGTTGGGTATATATATTTACCCTATGGGTTGGATCCAGATATAATTATTTATAATAGACATACATCTGCAATGTGGTGCATGAAAGGAAGAACTTTGAGAAAGTAGTGAAGAAATCTGAGTGTTCATGAATGTTGTGGCTTTCAAGTCTCCATCACCTGGGGAGAAAGAGGACTTCGTCCACTGGACCAAATATATTCCCTGGATTCTTTCAGTCCATCAAGATTGATTTCTGCCCTATGTAGTTTCACTCCCACAGCTATGTCCATTTCTGTACACCCTGGGCTATCCTCTGCAAGTCAGCACCTGATGTTGCACATTAATAAAGTTTTATTGGTGTAAGAGGTGTGCATGTTTGGCCTGAAAAAGGTGAAGAACCAGAGAGAGAGCAAGGACACAAAGATGTAGACCAACAGAACCAGAGGAACTATGGGACTTTGTATTTCTGGCTATAAGCCCTCATTGTGAGAAATTCAACTCTTGAACTGTGAACTTTTTTGAACTATGCTTTCAGTAAGTTGACAAAAACCATCTGCTACAAATTGAGGAAGTAGAGCAAACTTGATTAAGAAGACCCTGGTACAAGGATCCTCCTGAACAAGCAGATTTCACACCTGTCCACTAGTGATGGAAGACCCACTAAGAGTAATTAAAAGCATTCCATACTTCACAATAGGTAATAAGGACCATATATCTAGGAAGCTGGAATTTTTAGCACGTATACATTACTGAAACAGGGACGTCTAAGATGGCTTGGGCATACTGTGAGAATGGCTGAGGGTCGGATTCTGAAAGATCTCCTGTATGGATAATTAGTGCAGGGAAAGCGTCCCAGAGGGAGACCACAGCTGCCATACAAGGAGATCTGCAAGCAGGATCTGAAGGCCTTAGGAAATGGACCTCAACAGGAATTCTTATAATCCAGATACTTCCACTTAAAAGCTAACTTTTAGAAAAGCAAGGAATGGCTATGGAACATCTTGAGTAAAGGAGAGTGATGAATAATGTCTCTGGAGTCAGGAACCTAGTCTGATATCTGATGCCAGGACATTTTCTTTACCAAAACAGTACACTGTAACATCTGGAGTCATTTACCAAAGAGAGGGCATACATGCCCT